ACAAAAATGTTTTTTATAAATTACGTACATTGTTTCAGTGTGACTAATGGTGGTGGCCTCTAATGCTGCCACCACCACCACCACTATATGTATGGCTTATGCTGGCAATGGCTTTTACAAACCCAACAACACCACCACCACCACCACACTCGTCACATAGGTAATGACATATTCATTCTAGAGTATATGTCATGTTTCTATGTTATTATTATTGTTTATTATGCCATATTAGATGAATTGTGATAGATAAATAAGCCGTAGAGTTGATATTAGCATCATATTGAAGCATAATGTCAACCTGTGACCCAATCAAACTTTGTTACTATTTAACTTCATTACCTAACAGAATACTCCATTCTACTGATTACACAGCAACACAGTAAATGACCATATGACCTGTCTTTGTAATACTCATTTGTACTAATTTGTTACCTGTTTTACAATAATTTTTGTACCACCGAATATATCATTGCTTAGTTAATTTTAAGCCTGCCAGTAATGCTATGCATTCAAGTGGCTTTGGCATGCTGCATTTTACTGTATTCTTTTGTACTTCACTGTATCATGTTCAAATTAATAAATAAATAAATAAATAAATAATAAACTCGCCTCCCTCTCTCCTCCTCCCCGTGTTCCATTCACCAACAAGAGTTTCAATAAAGGTAAGTGTGATGTTAAATGTTCACTTATCCATTTTATTAAGTGCTTTATATTTATTTGTCATTGTTTTCTATATTTTTTTTTTTTTTCAACAAGTCGGCCGTCTCCCACCGAGGCAGGGTGACCCAAAAAAAAAAAAAAAAGAAAAAAAAATTTCCCCAAAAAAAGGAAAAATACTTTCCTTCATTCAACACTTTCACCACACTCCAATTACCCACTGCTTTTGCAGGGGTTTCTCAGAATTCAACATTTTAGAAGCTATAGGTTTTGAGTACACAACATATCCCCCCCAAATTTCCTTTATCCCAAACCCCCCCCTTTAAAAGTCCCAGGAAATTGTACTTCCCTTTTCCCAGGACTAAAGTCCACTATATGAAAAAAAAGGGTTTTCCCCTGAATCCCTTCCTAAATATTACCCTGCTCACACCCCAAAACAGATCGTCAGGTCCCAAGTATCTTGTTCCATTTTTTCCTATCTAACACGCTATGCACGCTTGGGGGAAAAAGTCCAACCCCCTTTCCCCCCCAAAACCTCCTTTACCCCCTCTTTCCAACCCTTTCGAGGAGGGAACCCCTCCCCCTTTTTTCCTTTCCCCCATAGATTTATATGTTTCCATGTCATTTATTTTGATCCATTTTTCTAAATGCCCAAAAACCACCTCAAAAACCCCCTCTTCTGCCCTCTAAATAATGCTTTTTTTTAATTTCCACCTTCCCCAAATTTTCCCACACTCCGAATTTTCTGCATAATATTTACACCCCACATTGCCCTTAGAAAAGGACATCTCCACTGCCTCCCAAACCGGGCCTTTCCCCGGTGTGCATTTTCCACCCCAAAATTCACATCATTTTAAAAGGGTTGGTATACTTTTACTTTCATACATTCCCCTTTTTTGCCCCCCTTTGATAACGTTTTTTGATCCACATATACCCCAACGAAACCCCTACCTTTTTTCCCCATCAATTTTTATGATTAACTCATTTCCTTTTTATAAATCCATCCCCCGAACTCAACTCCCCAAATAAACTGAAAAAAATTTCACTTCTTCCATTACTCCTCCCCCCCCAATTTTATATCCAATTTTTCCCCTTTTTTAAATCCCTTTTCCCCCCCCTTTACCTTTCCCTTTTCTTTGTTCCTTTCAATTTCTACCCTTTTCACACAAATTTTCCCAAAAACATCCACTAACCCTTTTTAAATTTTTTTCGGAATTCCCTAAGCACAGTACTTTTAGCAAAAAGTAATGTGTCAATTCCCTTTTTTAATTTGATTCCCCCCCCATAATTTAATCCCCCCCCTTTTCCCCCAAAACCCTTTGATTTACTTCTTTTACAACCCCCTCTTAATTTTATTAAAAAAAACCCTGGGTTTACATTACACTTTCCCCGTCCCAAGACCTACTTTTACTGGGAAAATATTCTCCCTCTCTTCTACACACCCTAACCCTGAGCCTCACTATCCTCAAAAAGCTCTTTACAGCATTTAGTAACTTACCACCTATTCCATATACTTGCAACATCTGCCACATTCCCTCCTCTATCCACTCTATCATATGCCTTTTCTAATCCATAAATGCAATAAAAACTTCCCTCCCTTTATTTTAATTACTGTTCACATATATGCTTCAATGTAAACACTTGATCTAACATCCCCTACCCACTCTGAACCCTCCTTGCTCGTCCGCAATTTACATTCTGCCTTACTCCTTAATTCTTTCAATTATAACCCTACCGTTATACTTTCCTGGTATACTCAGTAAACTTATTCCCTCTATAATTTTTAAAATCTTTTTTGTCCCCTTTCCCTTTATATAAAGGGATATACATGCTCCCCGCCAATCCCTAGGTACCTTCCCCTCTTTCATACATTTATTAAACAAAAGTACCAACCACCCCAACACTATTATCCCCCTGCTTTTAACATTTTCTGTCATGATCCATCAGTTCCAGCTGCTTTACCCCCTTTCATTACGTAATGCCTCAGTACCTCCACCACACTTACTTTCCCGCTTTCTTCACCCTAAAGATGGTATACCTCCCTGGCCAATGCATGAAATTACCGCCTCCCTTTTTCCTTAAACATTTAAAGTTCCTCAAAATATTCTCGCCATCTACCAAATTACCTCCTCTCCCCATTACTAACTCCCTACTTGTTTTAACGGGAAAAATCCATTACTTTCCTAGGCTTTCTTAACTTGTTTAACTCACTCCAAAATTTTTTCTTTTTTCATTAAAATTTCTTGACAGTGCCTCTCCCACTTTTCATCTGCTCTCCTTTTGCACTCTCTCACACTCTCTTCACCTTTCTTTTACTTCCATATACTCTGCTCTTCTTAAAAACACTTTGCTTTGTAAAAAACCTCTCGTAAGTACCTTTTCTCTTTTATCACACCCTTTACTTCATCATTCCACCAATCACTCCTCTTTCCTCCTGCCCCCACCCCCTATAACCACAAACTTCTGCCCCAATTCAAAATACTGCATTTTTAAAACTATTCCAACCCTCTTCAACCCCCCACTATCATCTTTGCACTAGCCCACCTTTCTGCCAATAGTCGCTTATATCTCGCCCGACTTCCTCCTCCCTTAGTTTATACACTTTCCCCTCCCTCTTACTTGTTGTTTCCCCCTTCCTCTTTTCCCATCTACCTCTACTCTAACTGTAGCTACAACTAAATAATGATCCGATATATCAGTTGCCCCTCTATAAACATGTACATCTGGAGCCTACCCATCCCCTTTTATCCACCAATCCCTAATTAAAAAACTACTTTCATTACGTGCTACATCATACCTTGTATATTTATTTATCTCTTTTTCAAAAAAATATGTATTACTTATTACCAAATTTCTTTCTACACATAGCTCAATTAAAGGCTCCTATTTAAATTTACCCTGGCACCCAAAATTTTACTATACTCCCTCCATAACATTTTTACCCATTTTTAGCATTGAAATCCCCAACCCCATTACTCTCACACTTGATTCAAACCCCCACGCATTCACTCAACATTTCCCCAGAATCTCTCTCTCTCCTCTACACTTCTCTCTTCTCCAGGTGCTACACGCTTACTTAACCCACTTTTCACATCCAAAACTTTACTTTTCTCCACATAATCCCTTTAATTTATTCATTTGTAAATCCCCCTTTTCCCGCCATAGCTTATCCTTCAACATTATTGCTACTCCTTCTTTAGCTCTAACTCTATTTTAAACCCCCGACTAATCCCATTTATTCCTCTCCATTGAAACTCTCCCCCCCCCTTTAGCTTTGTTTCACTTAAAACCAGGACATCCAGTTTTTCTCATTCATAACATCCACAATCATCTTTTCTTATCATTTGCACAACATCCAGCACATTCAGACTTCCCACTTTGACAATTTTCTTCTTTTTATTCTTTTTAGTAATCTTTACAGGGAAAAGGGGTTACTAGCCCATTGTTCCCGGCATTTTAGTTGACTTTTACAACACGCATGGCTTACGGAGGAAAGATTCTTATTCACTTCCCCCTGGATATAAGAGGAAAAGTAATAAGGCCCAAGAACTATTAAGATAAAATCAAAGAAAACTCAGATGAGTGTGTATAAATAAACGTGTACATGCATGTGTAGTGTGACCTAATTGTAAGTAGAAGTAGCAAGACGTACCTGTAATCTTGCATATTTATGAGACAGACAAAAGACACCAGCAATCCTACCATCATGTAAAACAATTACAGGCTTTCGTTTTACACTCACTTGGCAGGACGGTAGTACCTCCCTGGGTGGTTGCTGTCTACCAACCTACTACTGTTTTCTATATGTAAATCTATACATGTATTTAATCTCTAAATAATTTTTTTGTTAATACTTTTTTAACAATTTTTTTGTTAATACTTTTGGGTGTCTGGAATGGATTAATTGGATTTACATTATTTCTTATGGGGAAAATGGTTCCAGTTTTTGTGAATTTTAGCTTTGTCAGACTCTCTGGAATTGAGTTTTCACGAAAATGGAGGGTCCACTGTATATTTTTGACATAATGGAGTTTCTTTGTTTTCTAAAGTTGAACTGTCATTTGTAGGTAATCATGCAATTTTAATATCATATCCACGATTATATAAACCTGATTAAACCAAGAGGCATAACTACACAAACAAACTACTTAAATTTCAACCTGGTTGAAATTTAAGTAGTACATTGCAGTTTAATTTTTTTAACAGAAAATAGCATACTAAGATATTGCCAAACTTTTTTGAATAACTAGTAACCAAACCAATAAATAAATTTCTATCCTCCAATGATATAAGAAAAAGAAATTTAATTTTATTCCACAATTAATCTGTTGGCCATTACTTACCTTTACTCTTGCAACATCCTCAAGTCTCGTGACTTCACACAGTTCATGGTAGAAAGAGTGCACCACCAACCATGCATACACATTGCCTAGGATAAAGAGTATCCATAACAAGCACATGAGAATGTGATATGTAAACACCATATCGTTGACGATTGATGCATAAATAATCACAAGTGAACGCCAAATTGTGAAGATTGCCATACACCAAATCCATGGCTCCAAACGCATTTCCATTTCCTGTAGTGGAGGGAGAATAGCGTGATTATGACTGATAAATACTTCATGAAACAGCTACAAAGCAACAAAGAATCCTTGACATTAGATTAATTTGTACACAAGAAATAAACTTAAAACCGAAAAGCTAGAATTTTGTTAGGTTCCATATTAACTTATTTCTGTCATCTTTAACAACTGGTATGACACACGAATATACTCCTGAACTATGCACAAGCTGCTTACATCTTAAGTTGCAACTAAGTTACTGCCTAGTAACTTAGGACAAAATCTGTTGGGTCAGCTGATTTGAAAACAACAAAGTCCAAAGGTTACAAAATTGTTCAATATTGTTATGATCACGGCAACCATAATCAGAATTATTGGTCACCTGCTCCTCCCTATTAGTCCATTACATCGAGGGTTTTTCACTACTTAGAGACAAAAAAAATTACTGGAGAAAATGTCAATGGGGGGGGGGGAGAGCAAATCAGTGTGTAATGACTAATCTAGACACTTGAATTGTTCTCCATGGTGTAGAATCTACATTCTTTTCAGTTTCTCCTGCTTCAACCAAGGATGATATTTTGATGATCTACATCACATTTACAGATGTATATAGGAACAATATTAAAAGATGGCAATTTCTTCAAGCACTGGCAAGTATGTACTTCCTCAAAACCGGTTCTCATGAAGCCCTCCCCAAATGTTAACCTGTTCACACCCCAACAGCACATCAAGCCCCAAGCACTACTTGTCTCCACTTCAATTTAATATGCTCACAAAACCCTGCTGGATGCTCAAGCCTCTAGGACTCAAAACCTTCCTTACCCCGTCCCTCCAACTCTTCCTAAGATGACCTCTACTACTCCTTCCCTCTACCTTAGCTTTATCCACACTCTTGGTCATCCTATTCTTCTCCATCCTCTCTTAAAATGTCCAAATACTCAACAATCTCTCCTCAGCCCTCTGAATTCTCTGCATAGTATTCACAACACACACTGAATCACATTTACAATGCAAACACTCTCCTCCTTGCTGCAACATTTAAAACACAGGCCTCACACTCATTTAAGTGTTGGCACCATTAAACTCAGATACATTCCATTAACTTCTTTCTTTCCCCAAGAGCCTTAACACACCACCTACTCATTTTTCCTCGTCTATTCTATGGTTCATTTTGTATTTTATAGACCCATCTTCCAACTTGTCTACTCTTAAATATCTGATCGCACTCACTTCCCCCCTCCTCTACTATCATTAGTCTAAAATATAATTTTTTTTTTTTTTTCAACAAGTCGGCCGTCTCCCACCGAGGCAGGGTGACCCAAAAAAAGAAAGAAAATCCCCAAAAAGAAAATACTTTCATCATCATTCAACACTTTCACCACACTCACACATTATCACTGTTTTTGCAGAGGTGCTCAGAATACAACAGCTTAGAAGCATATACGTATAAAGATACACAACATATCCCTCCAAACTGCCAATATTTATAAATTACTGCTGTAACTGGAGATCATCTGGGCTGTAATTCAACAGGGATTTTACTTTTACAAGTGTCTTATTTCAATGTTTAGATCAAACACAGTGTAAACACAAGGCATATTCTTACCTTACGCAGTCCTTGCAAGAGAATAACACTTGTCAAAATAAGAGTGAGTCCACCAAAGGCTGTAACACCACCAAACAACATCAAAGAATTCCGAACTGAAAGCAAAGAAATTTACAAAACAAAGTCAAGTATTTTATGACACCACAGTCAAATAAAATGGATATTCAACAGTGTAATCTAACAACACTGAGGACAATCAGATTAAGTTCAATTAACAAAGAACATATAAAAAATTTCACTGAAAGTATAACATATCCTGTGGTTTACAGGATACCCCTAACAGATTTTAGCATAGTGGAAGCCTTTCATAAATTCCTATGTAACATTAACAGATTTTTAATTTTAAAATTTTGAACAATTGGAAAATCATATAATTGTTTAATCACATGACATAAGTGTTCAAATCAAGAAACTGAAGATGAAACTCAGACATTCTGGTCCTTTTTGGGCCATTATCATGGTCAGGATGTACAGAAACAGCATCCTAGGTGTCATCTCAAATCTAGGTAACATGGGAAGGTTAAAAATAAAAATATTTTATTTTATGGGAAGGTAAAATGAAAAATTATTAAAACACCATGATGCATATTCTTTAAAGGCAATCAGGGTAATCATATCTTGCAAGCAAAAAGTTTGCAAGTTAGTAAAACTGAATAAGCCTTCATTCCTCATGAAAATCCAAATAAATCCCTCATACCATTTACACAAATCCTTAACTAACATACAAATACAATGCAAACAGGCACTTATACTGCCACAATACTACATGATTATTGTCTGAGCAGACTAGATAGATATGTTACTTGAGACATAGATCTTCATTAATTTTCAAACCTTTACAACACACAGTCTGGATTCATCCCCTTCCAGTAAATAAATCCACAAATCCATCTATTCCGTCTTAACCCCTTAAAAATACTATTACTTATTAAATATACAATATCTTCAACATTGTGCAAGAAAGGTATAAAATACCGACAATATGAAAGATAAGACACATGTGCAACATCTGGATGTCTTTATTGTAGACGTGTCGCCATCCAGTGGCTTTATCAATACAGATTCTAGGACATAATAGGAAGACAGTAGAACTATATACAAAAGATGAGGTAATCAGTCCCTCAGCCTTGGAGTTAGTGTTCACAGCATCGTGGTGGAGGAGAATCTGGAGCAAAGGCAAGAAGACTGGCGGTTATATAGGCGTCAGTGGATAGGGACGGGCAGCAGACGAGGGCATAGTCACTGGTGGGCGGGATTCCCCCAGTGAAGTAGGTCCTTCCCAAAGAGATGGGTTAGTTGCAGCAGCCGTGAAGAAGGTCTTGTAGATGTTCCTCTGTAATATAGTTCTACTGTCTTCCTATTATGTCCTAGAATCTGTATTGATAAAGCCACTGGATGGGCGAAACGTCTACAATAAAGATATCCAGATGTTGCAACATGTGTCTTATCTTTCATATTTTCGGTATTTTATATCTTTCTTGCACAACTTGTCAGACACTGCAACATCATGGAATCTTGGTTCAGAGGACATCTACAAGACCTTCTTCACGGCTGCTGCAACTAACCCATCTCTTTGGGAAGGACCCCACTTCCACTGGGGGAATCCCGCCTACCAGTGACTATGCCCCTCGTCTGCTGCCCGGGCCCTATCCACTGACGCCTTATAACCGCCAGTCTTCTTGCCTTTGCTCCAGATTCTCCTCCACCACGATGCGTGAACACTAACTCCAAAGGGTTTAGGGACTGAATTTCCTCATCTTTTGTATATAGTTCTACTGTTTCCTATTTGTCCTAGAATCTGTATTGATAAAGCCACTGGATGGCGAAACGTCTACAATAAAGATATCCAGATGTTGCACAAAGTGTCTTATCTTTCATATTGTCGGGATTTTTTTACCTTTCTTGCACAACTTGTCAGACACTGCAACATCATGGAATCTTGGTTCAGAGGACATCTACAAGACCTTCTTCACGGCTGCTGCAACTAACCCATCTCTTTGGGAAGGACCTACTTCCACTGGGGAATCCCGCCTACCAGTGACTATGCCCTCGTCTGCTGCCCGTCCCTATCCACTGACGCCTATATAACCGCCAGTTTTCTTGCCTTTGCTCCAGATTCTCCTCCATCACGATGCTGTGAACACTAACTCCAAGGCTGAGGGACTGATTACCTCATCTTTTGTATATAGTTCTACTGTCTTCCTATTATGTCCCAGAATCTGTATTGATAAAGCCACTGGATGGCGAAACGTCTACAATAAAGATATCCAGATGTTGCACATGTGTCTTATCTTTCATCTTCAACATTCAATATACATTTAACTGGGCTATATCAGTACTCTGAAAATTATTCATCACCTTAATTCACAAATTTCATCTATGTATCTATACATAAAGTGAGTTACTATACAAAGGGTTAGTTGAGATTAAAATAATTTCAAATCTTCTTTGCACAAATCTATAACACTCGAAGACTAAGGCTATTATTCACATTTAATTTTACTTTTTATTAATTTTTAGAGGCATTAGACATTGTTTATAATTATGTATACATTAAGCAAGCACTTCTGTACTTCTTTACAGGTTTCTTGTATAATTTCAACTTTTTTATTTCTACATTTGCATCTTCTACTTCACTTCTGTCAATTAATCTCTGAGTTCAACATTTGTGTACTAGTGAACAAGGGCCTAGAAATTGCGTCTGCCTGCAGAGTGAATTAGGCTTCAATGAATTTCAGAATCAATGTTTGGCAAAAGTCAAATACCTGTAAATTAAACAGTATCATTCTGGTATATGAAAGTTATATAATAAATACTTTATACAAAGCAATAGTGGGGTAAAGTTAACATATGATTGGGAATTTTGATAAGAGAAGCCAAGATATACATAGTAAGTGGAAGTGGAAGAGACAAAAAAATAATATGCATGAGAGTTATGTAAATACAAAGGGAATAATTATCGTACCATGAGGATTGCCAGAATAAACGAAGTCATACGAGAAGAGATAGAATCCATAATGGCTGGACCCTGGTGCAGCAAGGGATAAAGCATAGATATCAAACAGTCCAGTCACTATAGCAAATAAACCTTGAATCTGGAATTGAAAAGAATACAGTTTATTATTAGATCAGTAACTCAGTAAACATGGAAGCATCAAGTTACATGCATGCCTGTACAACCATCAACTCTTTATCCACATTGTTGACTGAAAGGTTTTGCCTCCAGACTGAGCTGCTTCAGTCATAATATTGGGGCAGAAGGCATAATAGCAAAGTAAAGACAAAGCATCAGTTCATCAACCTTGGATAAGTAGTTTTTGAGGTGGTCTGACCATCTCAAAAACTATTCCCCCCTTAATATTTACATTTGGATCTGCCTGAGTACCTGGTAAATTTCTTAGTGATAGTGTAAATGGGTTTGGAGAAAAAGTGTTATCTTGGCACACTTTCAGACTTAAATTTATTGCTATCTCTATACAATCTTATTATATGAGCACTACAGCACTATTGTTCTACAATAATAATGATGAGGAATACTTTACTATATTTCTTTGACCCCTTCACATTACCAAGATTACATATGGATGATCCAAATATTGTACTAGAAATACAGTACTTCATACTTTTTGTATTTCATAAAATATAAGTGAATACCCATGCACTTGGAATGTATAATAAAAAATAAAAAAAATTTATTTATATGTCTAAATTTTGATGTGCACAATGGCTATCTTGTTGAGGATGAGCACAATGAACTATTAAATACCCAAGGCTATTTGCAGAATGATCATAAGAAAAACCTTGACTACCATAACTGCAAATCTTTATTGTACTTTCATCAACATATTACTTTAAAATGTCTTCATCCCTTCACCTGTGCTTTACACTTTCTTCAGTTCATGTATCCTTCTTGCAGCTTGAAGAAAATTGTACTATATTTCTGAAGCTAATATTATCTATAAACTAAATAACCAGAAATTTAAAGGTTTACCTATAGTACTGACAAAGCCTCAATATACAGTGGACCCCCGGTTCGCAATGCTATCGGTATCCGATGCATTATATCACAAAAAATTTGCCTCGGTTCCCGTTACAAACCCAGTACGCAATGCGATTCGTATGAGACGTGTCCACGTGTGGCCTGAACTGCCCTGTGTGTGCTAGTGTTTACAAGCCAGCCAGTGTGTGCACATCTAAGGATACATTTGGTACATTCCATATTATCACTGTTTTTGGTGCTTGTTTCTGCAAAATAAGTCACCATGGGCCCCAAGAAAGCTTCTAGTGCCAACCCTTCGAGACCAAGGGTGCTAATGGCTATTGAAATGAAGAAAGAGATAATTGCAAAGTACGAAAGTGGAGTGCGTGTGTCAGAGCTGGCCAAGTTGTATAGTAAACCCCAATCAACCACCTCTACTATAGTGAGCAGGAAAACGGCAATCAAGGAAGCTGTTCTTGCAAAAGGTGCAACTGTGATTACGAAACAGCGACCGCAAGTGTTAGAAAATGTTGAGAGACTGTTATTGGTGTGGATAAATGAAAAAGCCCAGGGAGGTTCTACCGTCCTGCCAAGTGAGTGTAAAACGGAAGCCTGTAATTGTTTTACATGATGGTAGGATTGCTGGTGTCCATTTTTCTGTCTCATAAACATGCAAGATTTCAGGTATATCTTGCTACTTCTACTTACACTTAGGTCACACTACACATACATGTACAAGCATATATATACACACCCCTCTGGGTTTTCTAATATTTTCTTACTAGTTCTTGTTCTTGTTGTTTATTTCCTTACCTCCATGGGGAAGTGGAACAGAATTCTTCCTCCGTAAGCCATGCGTGTTGTAGGAGGCAACTAAAATACCGGGAGCAAGGGGCTAGTAACCTCTTCTCCTGTATATATTACTAAATGTAAATGGAGAAACTTTCGTTTTTCCTTTTGGGCCACCCCGCCTCGGTGGGATACGGCCGGTGTGTTGAAAGAAATGAAAAAGCAATGTGACAGATGTTGCAAGTATATGGAATAGGTGGTAAGTTATTAAATGCTGTAAAGAGCTTTTATGAGGATAGTGAGGCTCAGGTTAGGGTGTGTAGAAGAGAGGGAGACTACTTCCCAGTAAAAGTAGGTCTTAGACAGAGATGTGTAATGTCACCATGGTTGTTTAATATACTGTATTTATAGATGTGGTTGTAAAGGAAGTAAATGCTAGGGTGTTCGGGAGATGGGTGGGATTAAATTTTGGGGAATCAAATTCAAAATGGGAATTGACACAGTTACTTTTTGCTGATGATACTGTGCTTATGGGAGATTCTAAAGAAAAATTGCAAAGGTTAGTGGATGAGTTTGGGAATGTGTGTAAAGGTAGAAAGTTGAAAGTGAACATAGAAAAGAGTAAGGTGATGAGGGTATCACATGATTTAGATGAAGAAAAATTGGATATCAAATTGGAGAGGAGGAGTATGGAAGAAGTGAATGTTTTCAGATACTTGGGAGTTGACATGTCGGCGGATGGATTTATGAAGGATGAGGTTAATCATAGAATTGATGAGGGAAAAAAGGTGAGTGGTGCGTTGAGGTATATGTGGAGTCAAAAAATTTTATCTATGGAGACAAAGAAGGGAATGTATGAAAGTATAGTAGTACCAACACTCTTATATGGGTGTGAAGCTTGGGTGGTAAATGCAGCAGCGAGGAGACGGTTGGAGGCAGTGGAGATGTCCTGTTTAAGGGCAATGTGTTGTGTAAATATTATGCAGAAAATTCGGAGTGTGGAAATTAGGAAAAGGTGTGGAGTTAATAAAAGTATTAGTCAGAGGGGAGAAGAGGGGTTGTTGAGGTGGTTTGGTCATTTAGAGAGAATGGATCAAAGTAGAATGACATGGAAAGCATATAAATCTATAGGGGAAGGAAGGCGGGGTAGGGGTCGTCCTCGAAAGGGTTGGAGAGAGAGGGTAAAGGAGGTTTTGTGGGCGAGGGGCTTGGACTTCCAGCAAGTGTGCATGAGCGTGTTAGATAGGAGTGAATGGAGACGAATGGTACTTGGGACCTGACGATCTGTTGGAGTGTGAGCAGGGTAATATTTAGTGAAGGGATTCAGGGAAACCGGTTATTTTCATATAGTCGGACTTGAGTCCTGGAAATGGGAAGTACAATGCCTGCACTTTAAAGGAGGGGTTTGGGATATTGGCAGTTTGGAGGGATATGTTGTGTATCTTTTTATGTATATGCTTCTAAACTGTTGTATCCTGAGCACATCTGCAAAAACAGTGATAATGTGTGAGTGAGGTGAAAGTGTTGAATGATGATGAAAGTATTTTCTTTTTGGGGATTTTCTTTCTTTTTTGGGTCACCCTGCCTCGGTGGGAGACGGCCGACTTGTTGAAAAAAAAAAAAATGAAAAACAGATAGCAGGAGATAGCATCTCTCAAGCAATCATCTGTGAAAAGGCTAGGAAGTTCCATGACGATTTGGTAAAGAAATTGCCTGCAACTTGTGGTGATGTGAGTGAATTTAAGGCCAGCAAAGGTTGGTTTGAGAAATTTACGAATCGTAGTGGCATACATAGTGTGATTAGGCATGGTGAGGCTGCCAGTTCAGACCAAAAAGCAGCTGAAAAATATGTGAAAGAATTCAAGGATTACATAGACAGTGAAGACTTGAAACCTGAACAAGTGTTTAATTGCGACAAAACAGGCCTGTTTTGGAAGAAATTGCCAAGCAGGACCTACATTACTCAGGAGGAAAAGCTACCTCAAGTCCTAATGGAGGGGGATTCCCCTTCTAAACAATAGGTTCAACACTCTCCCCTCCTCCCATCCCATCAATCATCACCAGATCTTCATCAAAGGTAAGTGTCAATTATTCTATTGTTATTATTCTATTGTTATCGTTGTTATTGTAATTATTCTATTGCATTAAACTTAATATTTCATGTGGTAAAAGTTTTTTTTTCATACTTTTGGGTGTCTTGCATGGATTAATTTGATTTCCATTATTTCTTATGGGGAAAATTTATTCGCTTTTCAATAATTTTGGTTTACGATGATCTCTCAGGAACGGATTAACATCGCGAACCGGGGGTCCACTGTACTGTACTGTATACTAAGCCTTAAAAAAATCTTTACAAGTTTAGTACAGAATGCAAACAGAAATACACATAAAAATATGTCGCATATTAATTAAAGCATAAGAACCATTTGTATTCCTACTTACAATTGAATATGTGGCAGCAATAACTGAACCTCGCTGAACATTTGTGATGAAAGCATCAGGGAGAATGGGAATTGAAAAGCCAGTCTTTGTATGAAGCGTTTCAGTGAGAGTTGCCACTGAGCGGATGGTAGTTGCATGTGATACTCTTGAGAGGCGGGATGTTGTTGATATCCCAGATATGCTGCCAGCTATTGATGAGCGAGGCATTCTGATGTAATGGAGAGGGTAAATAAATAAAATGGTTATATTTTGGTATTTTGGAATATTTTGAAATTTATTGTAGCTAATTACAGTACAAATATGCAAAGAAATTTTATGTGATAAACGGTTTTAAAAAATGACAAGTTGAAGATTGAGACACTTATGCAACATATGGGAATCTTTATTGAGGAAATGTTTTGCCACACAGTGGCTTCATGAGTCCAGTACAAAGCAGGAAGGTATAAGGAGAGGAGGAGTTTGAGGTAATCAGTCCCTCAGCCTGGAGTCGATGTGTTCAGTACATCAATCTTGTAGAATGTACAACATAGTGCCGTAGACATGGCTTAAATACTGTAGTCAGGTGAGGCGAAGCAGGAGGTGGGGTCATAGTGGAACCATCCACTAGTCTAAGTAGGTCTTCGTCCAAAGGTTGGACAAGTGATAAAGAATTAATTCTTTATCACTTGTCCAACCTGAGGGACTGAGGGACTGATTACCTCAAACTCCTCCTCTCCTTATACCTTCCTGTTTTGTACTGGACTGATGAAGCTACTGTGTGGCGAAACGTTTCCTCAATAAAGATTCCCATATGATGCATAAGTGTCTCAATCTTCAAATTTTATTAATTCCAATACAGAAAATAATAGTGCCGATTGGATAAAAAATTAAGAACACAAGGGAACAATATCTAAAGATATCTAATAATTTCACACCAATTAATATATATACACCAAATAATATACAACAACAACTTTAGTGATTAATCAATTCAAATAAGCTCAATAATGCAGTAATGAATATGGTAATTATTCTAAGAAATGCAGTAGTGAGATAATGCAAGATGCAAACGGGAAAAATAGTAGAATATAAAATTGTGTGTTCTTCATGTCGAACAGCAAGTAATGCTGACAGGAATAATAGAAAGTCTTTCTACTATACATGCTCCTCAGCTGTAACTGGCCAATACAGTAAAAACACATTTATAAGATACAGTGGTACATTGAGTTACAAGCAGCTCCCAACTCGAACAGTTATGTAAGTGTATTTTTTAAGTGCTTTTGTAAGTGTATTTTTGGGGGTCTGAAACGGATTAATCTAATATTCATTATTCCTCACAAAAACAAATTAGTTCGGTATCGGCACTCGAACTTCTGGAACGAATTACACTCGTAACTAAAGGTACCACTGTACAGTAAATGTTATATTGAGATTACCGAGATTGGAAGCAAGTTAGATAATAAGATTATTATTATTATAATCAAAAAGAAGGACTATACAGTGCTGCAGGGTAGGGAAGGAAGCGAGGGTATCGGGCAGCAGAAGGGGGGAGGGATGATTAATAGGTTACAGAAAACAGCGGGGCAGGAGATAGTGTGGGGGTAGAGGGTAGCAAGAGATTGAAGTAGAAAGGGCTGAAGGTATCTGTCAGAGTTTGTGGAGTAAGTCAGTTGTTGTCAAAAGGTCAATGAGAGAGTCTGGATGAAAAGTGAGTCCATCAGTGAGAAGTGGGCAGTCTAACAGAATGTGGCTGACCAATAATGGAACCTGACAATTCTCACAGAGAGGAGCAGGGCACCTCTCCATGAGATACCCATGAGTAAGTCGAGTATGGCCAATGCGAAGGCGGGAGAGAGTAGTCTCTCAACCTTGACACTGGTGACAAGAAGACGGCCAGTAACCTATACTCGGTTTAATAGAACAAAGTTTGTTATTGAGCGGAGCAGACCAACGTTGTTGCCAACGGGTGCGAAGGTGGGTAGCTATTACAGCAAAATAGTCCAGAAATGGAACACCTCTATATGAAATTGGTAGGTCATGTACTGCTGACCGCGCAGCAGTGTCTGCCTGTTCATTGCCCTCTACGTCAACATTACCAGGGACCCAACAAAAAACAATATCTTTATGCTTGGCAGAGATACAGCATGGCCAAAGTTGGATACGAAGAACTAGGGGGTGAGATGTATCAAATTTCCGTATAGCCTGTAGAGCACTGAGGGAGTCTGAGACAACGACAAATGATGACACAGGCATAGATGCGATACAAGTAAGTGCTGCAAGAATGGCATACAATTCAGCAGTAAAAATGCTAGCCGAAGATAGTAAATGCCCTCGCACAACGCTGTCTGGAAACACTGCTGCGAATCCGACGCTGTCAAAAGATTTAGAGCTATCTGTGTACACGGCGATGGCATGAGAATGAGAGTGGAAGTGGTCAAGAAAAAGAGAGCGGGAAGCCACCGTAGGCAGTTGGGCTTTCAAGCAAGGGAGTGAGAAAGAACAGACCCGAACAGCTGGAACTTCCCAGGGGGGTAGAGAAGTGAGATGCTACATGAACATATAAAGGCGGTAACTGAAGGGAAGACGAGCGAATGTAGGCGAAGAGAGAAGGGACGGAGCAAACAGGGGTGGCGAACAAATAAAGAATGTCTACTAATATCAGTGACCATTCTATAAATGGAAGGATTGCGGAGATCGTGAGAGCGCATATAGTAGCGAAGGCAATGGGCATCACGGCGATCAGACAAGGATGGAACATTCTCTTCTGCATAGAGGCTCTCAACAGGGGAAGAGCAAAAAGCACCAAGGCATAAACGTAATCCTTGGTGATGGATGGGGTTAAGGCTAGAGAGAGTAGCAGGACAGGCCGCTGAATCGATCTGGTCACCATACTGTAATCGACTTTTGATAAAATGAGGGCTGAATGTAGGCGAAGGAGTGTTCGACGATCAGCTCCCCATGAAAGATGAGCAAGGGTTTCAAGAAGGTTCAGCCAGCTGTGACAAGTTGCCTTTAGAGGTAATGTGGGTTTCGAGGATAACCTACAGTCAAAGAGAAGGCCTAGAAACCTGACTGTATCACGTTCAGGGATACGGGAGCCATAGAGGTACAAAGGATGATCGGAGATGACAGAGCGTCTAGTGAAAGTAACTTGGTGACTTTTGGTACTGGAAAATTTAAACCCATGCGTGGTGGCCCAATTGGAAACACGGTCGACCGCATGCTGGAGAGAAACTGTAATGAGGTGACAGTCAGCGCCTGCACAAGCAATAGCGAAGTCATCTACATAGAGTGATGATCAAATGTTGGATGGAAGAACAGAGGCCAAATCATTTATAGCAAGGAAAAAAAATGTTGTGCTCAGAACACATCCCTGAGGGACACCTTCAGCTTGGACAAAGTCCGGGGAGAGCACATTATTGACTCGAACATGGAAATGCCTGTCAGTTAAAAAGTTCTTAAGGAAAGATGGTAGATTGCCTCGGAGTCCTAAGGAGTGGGCTTGGGCCAAAATATTATACCTCCAAGTTGTGTCATATGCCTTCTCAAGGTCAAAAAATATGGCAATAACTGAGTGGTTATTCACAAAGGCATATGAGATAGATAACAGCAGAGTGTAATTTTGGTTCTTGTAAGCAAACACCAACGGGGGAAAATTGGGAGAGCAACGTCTGAAGCTCACCCTTATTACCCCTGAGGCCGCGTATATTCCACTGTAAATAGGCCATGATTGGCAAAGTTAAAGATACTAGAAATCCGCAGGTAAGAGTACTTACGGACTAGAGGGGTTAGAAAAGTCCACATGAGGTGGCAGCGGAAAACGTTCAAGCAGCGAAGAAACGGTGCACTGTGAAGAAAGGAGTTGTGCAGATGGAGAAGAGGAAAGAGAAGGAACAAAGGGTGGATCAGTGTCCATTGATGGTTTGGTCTCTGCAATATATTCAGAGATTGCTTCAAGTGTTTCAGAGTTCAGAGACGTCGTATGGGAGACAATATTGGAGATGGAAGGAGGAGGAGTTTGAGTAAAGATCGGAGCTGTAATGGACTGTACCAAGGTAGGGGGGGGGGCAAAAGGGTGGAGGGAACTGGAGAAGTGTGGGAGGGGACAGAAGAGGCAGAAACCTGGGAGGTGGCAGAAGAGGAAGAAACCTGGAAGGGGACAGGGGAGGAAGGCACAGTACGAGGAGGAGGATGAACCTCCACACTTGTAACAGAGCCAGTGAAAGGGGAAGACCCAGGAACAGAGACCGGGAAGGTAAAATGTGGAGGTGGATGAAGGGAAGCAGGGGATAAAGGAGATTTTTTTGGACTTCTGAGAAGTAAAGGGATGATTGGGAGGAGGTGTCATACAAGGTCTTGTCTTGTGAGGGAGAACACGAAGAAGCGAGAACAGACTGAGATGTTGAAGTAGGGATGTCTGAGCCCAGGACAGCAAAAGAATTAGATACAGGAGTGACTATGGGACTGGCAACCGTAGAGGAGGCTGCAGAAGATGGGACCCCAGAAGTTGGGGGACGTTTTGAAACACGAGAATAAGAAACTCGGGGTAGTCTCCCTTGGAGGCGGAGATGAGAAATTGCCATAGCATAAGGGAGACCTTCTGCCTCTTTGAGGCAACGAATTTCCCGCTCTTTAAGTAGACTTGGCAACGGCGAGAGTACGAAGGGTAAGCCTCATGACAATTAAGGCAAGAATGAGGTTGACTTCAAGACGTATTAGAATGGTCATCGGCACCACAGACTGGGCATTCGGCTATAGATCTGCAATATTTTGCTGGGTGGCCAAATCGCCAGCAATTTCTACATTGTTGCGGTGTAGGGATCACCTTTTGAACTTGTAACCGATGTCCTGCTACATAAACAGAGGATGGGAGTTCACGGCTGTCAAAAGTTAAACGAGCCATATTGTAAGGGTATCGTCTCCGCCCGCAGGCAGGAAGAACATAAGTGTCTACCTTGAGAATTGGGAGATCTTGGAGTTCCAGCTGTTCGAGAATGTCAGTGCCATATGTCTGGAAATTCTGTTGGACTATGGTATGGGGCAGAATAACAGTACCACTACAAGAATTGAGGGAATGATGTTTTTCGATAGTGATAGGAATAGTATCGATATGTGAAAGAAGAGAAAGATCATGAGCTTGGGTAGCATTCTGGACTGTGATGATGCGCATACCACTCTTAAGAGCAAGAAGTAAATATCTCCTACCAACATGGCCGTATCAGCGGTTTT